CCCAGGTTCGATTCAGTCAAGGGCATGTACCTTGTTGCAGGCACATCCCCAGTTAGGGGGTGTGCAGGAGCAGCTGATCGATGTTTCTCTCTCATCGATGTTTCTGACTCTCTATCCCTCTCCCTTTCCTCTCTGTAAAAAATCAAATAAAATATAAATATATATATATATATATATATATATATATATATATATATATATATTTTTATTTCAGAGAGGAAGAGAAAGGGAGATAGAAACATCAATGATGAGAGAGAATCATTGATCAACTGCCTCCTGCACACCCCCTACTAGGGATCGAGCCCGCAACCTGGGCATGTGCCTTTGACTGGAATCGAACCCTGGACCCTTTAGTCCGCAGGCCGACACTCTATCCACTGAGCCAAACCAGCCATGATCATTTGATTCTTTTATATCTTCCATTTCTTGCATTATGTTCATATTTTCCTTAAATCCTTGAGCATATTCATAACAGCTGTTTTAACTTTCTTATCTGCTAATTCTATCATCTTTGTCAATTCTGGGCCTGTTTCTACTGAATTGATTTTTCTCCTGGTTATGGATTATATTTTCCTGCTTCTTTGCATGTCTAGTAGTTTTTTACTTTTATCCTCACCCCAAGGATACCTTCATTGATTTTTTAGAAAGAGGTTAAGGGGGAGAGAGAAATACTGACATGAGAGAAACATCGATGGGCTGCAATACCCACACACACACCCAGACGGGCATTAAACACGAAACCCAGGTATATGCCCTGACGGGGAATCCAACCCACAACCCTTTGGTGTAAGGGACAATGCTCCAACCAACTGAGCCACACCAGCCAGGGCTCTAGTGATCTTTTTATTAGACGGTGGATTTTGTTGTATTCTTTTGAAGAAAGTGGACTTCGTTCTGGCAGGCAGTGGATTGCAGATCAGTTTCTATGCTTTGTTAGGGAAGATTTAAAGTAGCCTTTACTTTGAGGCCACTTTAACCCATTATTAAGGTAGGACCCTTTTGGAGTTTCTATCAAATGCCCTGTGTATTCAACCAAATCTCCCCATTCTGGCTGATGGGAACATGAATGATTTCCGGTGCCATGTAAGCACTTGGAACTATTTGGCTAACAGATCTGCTACAGTCCCTCCTCCAGAAACTGTGCTTTGACTGGCTTTGTGGAGTTTTACACTATGCGTGCACAGATTGGTATTCAGCCACAAAAATGTCTGGAGTTGTTTCTCTGCAGAGCTCATTCCTCTCTGGTACTCTTGCCCAGCAAATTCTAGTCACCTGTGCCTCTCCAAATTCTGGTCTCTGTCTCCTCAACCCACCAAGACTACTGGGTTATGTTTGGGTTTCATCTCCCTGCCCCATGGTCTGAAAATTATCTCCTGTGAAAAAGCTTAAATAAAGAAGGGTTTCTTTTCCTTCTCTCAGGAATCATAGTCATGTGCTAGCTATTGCCCAATATCTGAAAAACAGTTGTAGTATATATTTTTGTCCAGTTTTCTAGTTGTTTACAATGGGAATGTAATTCCAGACTCTGTTACTCCTCGTGGCCAAAAGCAGAAGTCCCCTACAATTACAATGAAAGGTTCAGTGTGATTGTTTACTATTCAGTATAACTGCTAAGGCTCCAGAGTAGTTATCTTGTTAAAAATTCTGTACGTACAGTGCCAATCGAATAAATAATTACTGCAATTTGTGATCAAAGTGTGTTCCTTTCCATAAGGAAAAGATAATGGTTGGATGTAGTTGGAAAACTACCTCTATGGTTATATTCCCTGCTTTATTAAAGAAGTCCCAGTTTGATTAATTTAAGACACAGAACACTGTTGATATCCCAGGAAATTTCCTCTAGCCCCCTCCCAGTCAGTCCCCACCTCCACCTCCACAGAAAAAAACTGATCTGAATTCTGTCACCACAGGTCAGTTTTGCCTGTTTTAGAATTTCATATAAATAGTATCATATGGTATGTAATTTTTTTATGACCAGCTTCTTCCACGCAGTATAATATGCATCTGTATGTATCAGTTTATTCCCTTTCTTGTTCAGTAGAAGTCCATTGTTTACCCATTATATTTTTAAAATATTTTTTTTATTGATTTCAGAGAGAAGGGAGAAGGAGAGAAAGACAGAAACACTAATGATGAGAATCATTGATTGTCTGCCTCCTGCACACCCACACTGGAGATCGAGCCCGCAACGTGGGCATGTGCCCTGACCAGGAACCAAAACATGACCTCCTTGTTCATAAGTCGACACTCAACCACTGAGCCATGCCAGCTGGGCCCATTCTTTTTTTGATGAATATCTGAGCTGTTTCCAATTTTTGGTTATTACAAATAAAGCTAGTATAAGCATTCTTGTACAATGATTTTGGTGAACATATGTTCTTATTTCTCTTAAATAAATACCTAATAGTGGAACTGCCAGATCATAGGGTAGAATATATATATGTTACTTTTTTCACATCTGCTTTTGATTAACTGAAAAATATAAATTGACTTGGTGACTTGAACTGCAGAAAGGTTGAGATAGCAATTGTTTGTGCCACTACTTATACTCCTACTACTTAGAATAATGTCTGGCATAAAGTAGGTGCTCAATAAATATTTGTTGAATAGGTAAAAGAGAGCAACATCAAAAAATTAAAACATGACTTATACACAATATAAGACCACTTTGTAGTCTCTTCCAATTCTGTTGTTTTTGCAGACAATTTTATAAACTCAATTGCACAGTATTGTTCTTGTATCAGAATCTTATTTGCCACTCTCTTCTCATAATATGAAAGATTTGTCCATTTTATAAAATCTTCCTTTTTCAACACCACTAATAGTTTTATAGATAAAATCTTTACTTTGTTCTGTTCTCCTTCCTTGTACTTTATTTACTGAACTAAATAACTAAATAACTAAATAACCTACTTTTTGGTGCAGTTCTCAATTTTATACTCATTATTTAAGGCCATACTCATTATTTCATAATCAATCTGTGGATTAACTTGTCTTTAAATTCTGTGTCTACTTAACTCAGTCTTTTCAACAGTAAAAGTGAGATTCCAATTACTTATATGTTAGGCTTCTTTGTAATAACTGTTACTTTTACTTTACTTTCTCAAAAGGTACCTATTACATAACCATATATATGATGGTATGTATTAAGTCATTATTAATGTCTTTCAGGAAGTCTTTCTTAAAGAAAGCGCAGTAAATTATTTTAAAACTTTCCATAAGTGTATCAATACATGGCTTCTTTTTTGGAATAATTCTATGATCTTTATATTAGGTACTGTTGAAGTTGTTAGGATTAGAAAAATAACTGGTTAATAAATGGAGTCACCAGTAAAGTATAAGAGTGTAATCTGGAAAGAAAAGAAAACAACTACAATCTGTCCACTGAATAATGATTAAAATAGCACAACTTTAAAATCTGAAAGAAATTTATGTATGTAAACAAAGTTATGGTGACTTATATAGCCTAAGTAATATCTGGTTGGATAGACCTTAATCATGTCATAATCACTGAAACGGTAACTTTTTAATTGCTTTAGCTGGAGAAGAGTGTACTAACTGATAAGAAGATCTGAGTATTATTTCAAGACCTAAATATACTCCTGGTAGTTGGGTCTCCTCTCCCCTTCCTCCTCTGTAAAAAAAAAATCAATAAAATATATTTAAAAAAAAAAAATCACCAAACAAAAAAACCCTTTCAGTTAGCGCCTATGAATCAGTATCACTAGATAAAGTAATTAACAGTAACAATGTATGGGGGAATATACTTACTGGGATGTAACGTTGGGACATGTTGTCCAAGTCTGTCATCTTTTAGCATGTGTAGCAATGTTGTTTTTCCTGCATTATCCAATCCAAGAAATACCAATTTACCAGTTTTCTTATATAATCCTATAGAGAAAGCTTTGATTAATCAAAGTAATATCTGACACAGATTATCCAAATAAAATGACCTTCAACAAAATATATTAACAGTTTAGTTATTTAGATACTTTTCTTAATTACTCTGATTTTTTAATAAAGAAACACCTATTAACCTTTTGAACTTTTAGACTTTATAAACTGGCCTGAATAAGCTTGGGACTCTAACTTATTTTTAGTTTTGAAGAGCTATTTTAAATATATTATAATTTGGGAAATCAAATCATTACTAAACTAAACTTCACCCCTATCAAAGAATGTGTGTGTTATCTAAACTTATCTGTAATGCCAAAATCCGTCCCCTTGACGATTTGGGGGTAAATATGTGTGTCTTCTCACTCACAAAATTATTGAAATCATGTATTTATGAAGATAGACCAAAAGCAAAAATAAAGAAAATTTAATGGATGAAAATAAATTAAGTATTTTTGACAATAAAAATTACAGCAAGGCCCTGGCCAATGTGCTCAGGTTAGAGCAGTCAGCCTGAACACTGAAGGTTCGATTCCTGATCAAGGGCAAGTATCTGGGTTGCAGATTCCATCCTGGGCCCTGCTCAGGCACATGTGGGAGGCAACCAATTGATGTCTTTCTCACATCCATGTTCTCTCTCTCTCTCTTCCTCTGCCTCCCACTCTCTCTAAAAATCAATGGAAAAAATATCCTTAGGTGAGGTTTAACAAACAAACAAAAATTTATAGTAAGTTTTTCAGTAAAAGTTTTGCTCACTGTCAAATTTCCATGAGAATAAAATTAAGCTTTACAGGATTGCATAAAACTAAGCAATAAAAACGAAGTAAAACACATAATTTTAGATGTATAACCAAGCATTGATAAAATCATAAATAAACAGAAAAAAAGACAGCATTGACCAAATTATAGACTGGCATTTATTGCAAAATTCCATATTGAGCCTTATTATTTTTCTTTAAAGATTTTTTTAAGAGCTGCTTTAGATTTACAACAAAACTGACAGAAAGGCAGAGATTTCCCATGTGTCCCGTTTCCACACACATATAACCTCCCCCATTATCGACATCACCCACCAAAAAGATATCCTCTTTTTCTTTGTTAAAATATATTTTTATTTATTTTTATTCAGAGAGAGAAAGGGAGGGGGGAGAGAAATAGAAACATCAATGATGAGAATCATTGATTGGCTGCCTCTTGCATGCCCCACGCTGGGGATGGAGCCCGAAACCTGGGCATCTGCTCCAACCAGGAATTGAACCGTGACCTCCTGATTCATAGGTCAACTAACAATTCAGATCCTTAGGGGAAGATTATCTTCCATATTTACTTGAGCTGGGATAAGACATTTGATCTTTATGAATTCTGACAAGTAACTTCTTTAAACATTTTTATTTCTTAAAAGGTTTCTACAGCCTGACCAGTGTGATTCAGTTGGCTGAACATTGTCCCATGCACCAAGAGGTCACCGGTTCCATAACCACTGAGGGCACATGCCCAGGTTGCTGGTTTGATCCCCAGTAGGGGGTGTGCAAGAGAGAGCCAATTGATTGTTCTCTCTCATAGATATTTCTATCTCTCTCCCTCTCTAAAAGCAATAAAAACGTTTTTTGTTGTTAATCCTCACTGGAGGATATTTTCCCATTGATTGTTAGGGAGAGTGGAAGAAAGAGAGAAAGGGAAAGACAGAGAGAAACACATTGACTGGTCCTGTGCAAGTCCTGACCAGAGCCCGGGCCAGGGAGAAGCCTACAATCAAGGTATGAGCCCTTGACTGGAATTGAACCCAGGATCCTTTGGTCTGCAGGCCAACGTTCTATCCACTGAGCCAAACCGGCCAGGGGATAAGATTCCAAAATGGAACACCAAGAACATTTAAACTTTAATCTGTACAGTGGGTTGGACTAAATTTTTTTCAATAAACATCGATTTACTGTTCTACCCATTCATGCATTCATTGGTTGATTCTTGAACAGAGGTCGAACCTGCAACCTCGGTGTATTGGGATGACGCTCTAACCAACTGAGCTACAGGCCAGGGCATTTTTTTATTAAGTTTTTTATTGATTGATTTTAGAGAGAGAGGAAGGGGGATATATATATATATATATATATATATAGAGAGAGAGAGAGAGAGAGAGAGAGAGAGAGAGGAGAAACAGAGAGAAGAGAGAGAGAGAGAGAAAGAGAAAGAGAGAGAAAGAGAAAGAGAAAAGGAAACATCAATTTTTATTGTCCCATTTATGTATGCATTCATTGGTTGATTCTTGTATGTGCCCTGACCAGGGATTGAACCAGCGCAACCTTGGTGTATCGGGCATGACACTCTAACCAACTGAACTACCTGGTCAGGGCTATTATTTATTAATTGCTGTATTATTTTCCATATGCACAATTATAAACCTACTTTTGCCCCATCCTGTAATATACCTATTAACCACTTTAAGGAGTAGAAATTATTATTTTACAGATAAGGAAACTAAGGCTAAATTGGGTAAAGTAATTTGCGTAAGATTACATAATTTATAAGAGCTACAGTCAGTCATTAAACTTTTTTTTACAACTTCTTTTTTTAAATATATTTTTATTGATTTCAGAGAGGAAGGGAGAGGGAAAGAGAGATAGAAACATCAATGATGAGAGAGAGAATCATTGATCAGCCACTTCCTGCACGCCCCCCACTGGGGATCAAGCCCGCAACCCCAGGCATGTGCCCTTGGCCGGAATCGAACCTGGGACCCTTCAGTCCGCAGGCCGACCCTCTATTCACTGAGCCAAACCGGCTAGGGCTGTTTTTTACAATTTCAAAGATCACATTCTTAACTACTGGGTATATATATAAAGAGGTTCTAGACAAATAAGCACTTTTATATAAGTAGGCTTAAATGGATAATAGAGAATAAAGAGCCAACATTACCTAAAAACTGTAGCACACTGCTGAAACCACTATAAATCCAGTCAAATATGAAGGACATATCCAAATCTTACAGGGTCTGGAAAAAAACATGTTTGAATTTAGTAGACAACATTAAATGCCAATATACATTAAACAACAACAACATTAACCAACTCTGAGTAAATAACCCTACAACAATCTTACCACAAAGAATTAAACACTCTTATCCAGGCTGGTCTAACCTGATCTATACTGATGCATAAAAATGCTATTAAAATACTAAGTAGAGACCATTTTTTGCCCATCAAAGGAACCAACACAAAGAAGAAGAAAAAAGTTAACATAAAAAAAGAAATATAACAGCCAGGACTAGAAAAAGTGTGGTAAAAGAGGCATTGTTAGTGGCAGTATAAATTTCTACAAATCTTTCCCAAAACCAATTTGGCAATAATAAATCTGTTGATACCACTTGACCTAAGAATTCTACTTTCAGAAATTGTCCTAGCCCTGGACAATGTGGCTCAGTTGGTTGAGCATCTTCCCATGCATGGAGAGGTTGCCAGCTGGATTACCAGTCAGGGCACATGCCCGGGGTACAAGCTTGATCTGCAGTAGGGGGTGTGCAATGGACAACCCATCAATTTTTTTTCCTCTCTCTCTCAAACATAAAATCAGTAAAAACATTTTTAAAAAAAGAAATAGTTCTAAATATGGAAAAAGTTTATATATAAAGATGTGCATCAAAGTGTTATATAAGAAAAATTTTAGATATAATCCATGTTCAAATTAAATTAATTATAGTACACATGACCTATGGAATATTTACCAAAAATGATGGAGTGGGGGCAGGAAGAGCAGGAAGAAGAGAAAGAAGAGAAGAAAATTTATGATAAAATAAGTTTCAAAGTCAGATTATACCTAATGGAATAAAAAACCTTTTTCTATTTCTTTTGGTCTTTTGAAGTAGATGGTACCAGATGGTAAATTTCTGTGTTTGTCTTTTACTTACACTTTTCAAATTTTAATCATATTACTGAATGTTTAAAAAAAAATCTTGATCTTCTCAAGCTAGGCCTTCTCGATCATCAATAAAACTTTCCTTACCCTCCTCACCTTACTAGCATGAGCAGAATTTTGTTCCTGCATTCAGTTGATTCCTGATTAAGACAGTGACTGGCAAATTATGAAGCTTCATGTGTCAGTATCACAAGAATAAGATCTACAACAGCAATATATTCAGGGTATCCCAAAAAACGTATACACGCTTTAACAGCTGAGAGCTCAATTTTGTAAATGAAATGTATTTTAATAAATATTGCCTTTATAATTATTCAATGTGTGTATATGCATTTTGGGGGACACCCTATATACTAATATACAACAATCTAATATCTTAGTTCTTGTTTTACTCAAGTTGAAAATTATACCTCATTCTACTATTATTATTTTAGGTCATTTAGAAATTGAAACTTGTAGTCGGAGAAAATATATACAAGTGGTTTATCTTTTTTTAGGTATTTCATATATGTTTTTCAAAGAGAATAATAAATTTATTGGGATGATCACTTCATAAGTTATATAAATGTGTGAAACTGAAAGGGGAGAGCAAAAAGTCAGATATTGTTAGATGATATGATTGGGTTAGGGACCTGCAAGCAGAGTAAAAATCAATGGGTGCTAATGAGTGAGGCAGGAGCCAGAGTGATAAACAAGCCTCAGACAAATTTAGGTATTTGGTCATGCTTGCTACCTATGTATATGGACATAAGAAAGAACACTGACTCAACCTTTCAACTTAATAAAAACAGCAAAACAAACAAAAACAGCTACCATTTATTGAGCATATGGTCTAGCTCAGCGGATAGAGCGTCAGCCTGTGGACTCAAGAGCAGGAGCTCTGGAGCCAGGACTTGACCACTTACTACCTACCTGTAAAATGGAGATAACAGTAGCTACCTGAGATGGTGGTTGTGAAAATTAAATAAATTACTACGACACATCTTGCATGGAGTAAGCATTCAGTATTAGCTGCTATTATTATTTCTTCTTCTATATGGCCCACAGTACTAGGTCACCACTAACCACCCTAACAACCTTTCAAAGTAGATATATTACTGTTCCCATTTTACAGAAGAAGAAACTGATGCTAAAATAACTATAACTCAACTATTAGTGATTGGCACCTCTCAGTTTCAAACCTGGGTCTTTCTGACCTCCACTTCCAGGCCCTTTCTCTAACGAAAAAAAAACCACATATTTTTTCTGACTTTTTGTTGTTGTTAATCCTCACCCGAGGATATTTTTCCATTGATTTTTAGAATGGAAGGGAGGTGGAGAGACAGAGAGAAACATCAAGGTGGAGAGACACATTGATTGGTTGCCTCCTGCATGTGCCCTGACCAGGGCCTAGGATCAGCCTGCAACTGAGGTACGTGCCCTTGACCTGAATTGAACCCACAACCTTTCTGTCCTTGAGCCAAGGCTCTATCCACTGAGCAAAATCAGCTATGGCAACATATAGTTTTAACGGTTAAAATTTGCTTAAAGCCCTAACCGGTTTGGCTCAGCGGATAGAGCGTCGGCCTGTGGACTCAAGAGTCCCAGGTTCGATTCCAGTCAAGGGCATGTGCCCTGGTTGTGGGCACATCCCCAGTGGGGAGTGTGCAGGAGGCAGCTGATCGATGTTTCTCTCTCATCGATGTTTCTAACTCTCTATCCCGCTCCCTTCCTCTCTGTAAAAAATCAATAAAATATATTAAAAAATAATAATAAAATAAAATAAAATTTGCTTAAAGTATTATATACCATTTTTTAGTTACTTCAGCTCATGACTCTGATGTATAATCCTTCTTCCTCATATCCACATCCAATTATTCCCCAATTCTATCAATTTCTATGGAGAAGACTCAAACTTTCTTTGATTCCCACAGGAGAATCACCTAGTCAAGAACCTTATGTCACATTCCTAAACTGCTATCTTAATCTCAAAATTTGTTTCTCCCATTTGTACACACCCTCCAGAATGGTTTCATCAATATGTCATCTTGGACTTGACTTGCATAGTCAGGGTGATTATAATTCCCAGTTTCACTCGCAAAAGGTCCTGATTTAGGTGTTAAATTATGTGGCCACCCCATACATGTGGGTGGAGAGTCACTGGAAGTTTGTAAGCTGAAAGACCATCACTTGAGATGGTCTTTAAGGGACAGATAGGGGTGGAAGAACCAACAGACCCCAGAAGGGTAGAAGGTAGAACTAAAAGAGACAGTGAAAAAACTAGAAAGCAAAGAAGTTAGTCCCATCATATACAGCTGCAGAAATGTCACACCTGGCTTTGGCGACAAGAAGACAATTGTTGAGAGCATGAGCAGCCTGCAGTGTCGCAGTAATACAGGACAGCCTAAGGCCAGTACTTAAAGTACAGCAGAGCCTATCTACATGATTCATTAACTGTGTGATCTTAAATGAGTTACAAGTTTCTTCTGCAAAATCTTTCAGGGTGCTATAAAGATCAAATGAGCCTGGCCGGCGTGGCTCAGTGGTTGAGCATCCACCAATAAACCAGGTCACAGTTTGATTCCCGGTCAGGGCACATGCCCAGGTTGTGGGCTCGATCCCCTGTGTGGAGCATGCAGGAGACATCCGATCAATGATTCTCTCTCATTATTGATGTTTCTATCTCTCTCTCCTGCTCCCTTCCTCTCTGAAATCAATACAATATATATATATATTTAAAAGATCAAATGAGATACAATGCACAAAATAAGTATTTAATACCTAGTTGCTGTATTAACAAGTGAATGGACCTTAGCCGGTTTGGCTAAGTGTATAGAGCACCAGCCTGCAGACTGAAGGGTCCCGGGTTCAATTTCGGTCAAGGGCACATGCCAAGGTTGCAGGCTCATCATTGATGTTTCTATCTCCCTCTCCCTCTCTCTCTCCCTTCCTCTCTGAAATCAATAAAAATATATTTTTTAAAGTGAATGGGGCAGGAGGTTAATAAGTGGAGGCAGTGAGGAGAAATTCCTCTTTCAAAAAGTTTGAGATGAGCCCAGTTGGTGTGACTCACTGGTTGAGTGTCAACCTATGAACCAGAGGTCACAGTTCGATTCCTGGTCAAGGTACATGCAGGCTCATTCTTCAGTAGGGGTTGGCAGGAGGCAGCTGATGAATGATTCTCTCATCATTGATGTTTTTATCTCTCCCCCGCTCCCTTCCTCTCTAAAATCAATAAAAATGTTTTTTCAAAAGTGTGAGATGGAATGAGGGAAATGAGATTTTCTTTTTAAGGAAAGGTGAAGCTTAGAGTACGTTGATAAACTGAAGGGAAGGAGCTAATGGAAAGGGAGAGGTTAAAGATGAGAGAGAAAGAGAAGGAAGGAGTTAACCAAAAGGGGCAAAGTTTCAAGAGGAGACTGGGCTGAGAGCACTTCGGGTCCTCTAAGATTACAAGAAAGGCGGGCCAAGTACGTATAGTGGAGGTGGCAGGAATCTGACTCCAAAAGTGAACAAGGGGTGTAGAGAAATTCTGAGGAGCAGAGCAAGGATTAAAATAGCCACTGTGCAGGAAAAGATCAAGTTAAAAGAAGAGTCAAGTGCTTGGCCGGAGTTGAAAAACATTTAGCAGTACCAATCTGCACTGATTTCCAATCTCCCCTACTCCTCCCCACCCTCACTCTCCAACAGTGCTTAACTTTAGAGAACACTGAGTGAAGGAGGATTATGGACTTCCAGAACAGGACCTAATAAAAGACAAGGGAACAGGAAATTGAGAGTACTAGTAAGAGAGACTAAGGTGAGGTGATCAGAAGTTCAGGCTGAGTGGAAAAAGGTACAAAGGCAGTGGTGCATAGGGATGGGAATCAATGGCAGGGTTCTCAAAATATAGAACTGGGAGAAAAGGAGGAAAGCCTTTCGTAGAAAAGCAGGCATTGATGTAGTAAAAGGGTGAGGTGGGCCATAACTGTGTCAGAAAAACAGAGGCGAATGTGGAGTCCAAGAATCCAAGAGAGACCCTGGCTAGGTGGCTCAGTTAGTTGGAGCATCCTCCCATGTACCGGAGGATCTCAAGTTCGATGCTGGTCAGGTCTGCCACGTGCGGGAGGCAACTGATTGATGTGTCTCTCTCATCCTCACATCAATGTTTCTCTCTCCCTTCTCACTATCTCTCTTTAAAAAATAAAAAAAAATAAAAAAAGGTTGTAGATTAATCTGAGAGAGAGAGAGAGAGAGAGAGAGAGAGAGAGAGAGAATGGCACCTATTTACTGCTATAAAATTTGTCCCAAAAGAAATAATTTAGCCCTGACCAGTTTGGCTCAGTGGATAGAGTGTCGGCTTGAAGACTGAGGGGTCCCAGGTTCGATTCCGGTCAAGGGCATGTACCTTGGTTGCGGGCACATCCCCAGTAGGGAGTGTGCAGGAGGCAGCTGATCGATGTTTCTCTCTCATCGATATTTCTAACTCTCTATCCCTTTCCCTTCCTCTCAGTAAAAAATCAATAAAATATATTTTAAAAAAGAAATAATAACATATGGGGAAACTCTGCTTTAGAAGATAATGAGATATTTATATTTCTAAAAACTCGTGGTTTCTAAGAACCTTAAAACAAGCTGGGAGTCATTAGTCATTTTAAAGTACAGATAAAAATGCCTAACTAAGAATAAAAGTTACTTAGCCACAAACAGATACCTGAGCCCTGAGAACAGGTTACACAACACCATGACACCCTATTAAGACATGTGAAGAGCAAAGGTCAAGAACAAGGAAACATATGCTCATCAGCAGATTTATTTATTGCATGAACACCAAACAGGAAAAGCCCTATACAGATTGGAAACGTGATCTAACTCATGTAACATGAAAATCAGTGCAAAGGGTTTAGTGGAATAGAACCTCTCAGATTAAAAATAACTTCTTACACACAAAAAAACAACCTTCTTAAATAGGCAAATCCTTAGAATAAGTAGATTAGTGTTTTTCAGACAGGAAGGGAAGAGAAAACTGGGAGGAGTGGCTGCTAATGGGTACTGGGTTTCTTTTTGGGGGTGACAAAATGTTCTGGAATTAGACAGTGGTGATGGTTGCATAACATTGTGAATATGCTAAAAACACTGAACTGTATTTATAAGGGTAAATTTTATGATACATGAACTACTCAATAAAGGTAATATTAAAAATTAGTCAAATTTACATGATCTTTTAATATTTACAACAAATTTATATAAGTAATTAGGCAGAACCATTTAGGTGTAAACTTTAGGGGAAAAAAATAAATAAACTACAACAGGATACAAACACTCCAAAAAGTACTACTCAAAGAAAATAAAAGCTATGATAGTCTAAAGAGGCAAATATGATATCAGAGTAGGATTATACAATCAATACATTAATAACTTTTGGAAATAAAGTATGGTAGAGCTATGGTAAAATGGATAGAGTACCTGTCTAGAATTTTAAAAATATGGATTTAACACGCATATTTTGAAATACATACTATTATTTCATTCTGGAAAAGTCAATCTTTCTGAGTCCCCGTTTCGTCCTACTATAATGGGAATAACCACCTGCCTCAGTGTTGTAAGAATGGTTAAATAGCCCTAACCGGTTTGGCTCAATGGATAGAGCGTCGGCCTGCGGACTCAAGGGTCCCAGGTTGGATTCCGGTCAAGGGCATGTACCTTGGTTGCGGGCACATACCCAGTAGGGAGTGTGCAGGAGGCAGCTGATCAATGTTTCTCTCTCATCGATGTTTCTAACTCTCTATCCCTCTCTCTTCCTCTCTGTAAAAAAATCAATAAAATATATTTTTAAAAAAAAAGAATGGTTAAATATGATAATGTACCCCAAAACACCTTGAATACTATACAATATAAGATGGTGTTAACTCATCCAGACTAAATTACTTAAAGTTCAGTGCACAAAACTTTAAATGCCAATTTTCAAATTAACTTCAATATTAACAATTTTTAGGCCTGGTCTGGTATGGCTCAGTTGGTTAGAGCACTGTCCTGATATGCCAAGATTGCGGGCACATGTAAGAATCAACCAATGAATGCATAAATAAGTAGAAAAACAAAAATTGATGTTTCTCTTTCTCTCTCAAATCAATTAAATTTTTTAAAACATATTAACAACTTTTAATATGAGCAAGTTTTAAATATTCTGATTCTATTTTAAATATTAACAACACTGTCACCAGAAAGGGCACTAGACTAGTTTCCTTCAACTCGAGGTAAAAGGAAATTTCACTAGAAGAGATTAACCAAAATTTTTTATCTAATTGCGTCAGGTTTATGATTAAATCATGGACAGGTTTCGGGGGATGGAAAGTGGAGGAAGGGGGAGGGGTGACAGGGGAAAAAGAATAAACAAACAAATAAAAAAAGGTACAAAATCCATAAGGTGAGTATACTATCTGTAAGCTAATTTAGAATTATATATACCTCTCTCTCTAATTGAAATACTAGAAATATAAAGAAGGCCAAAACCTCTTCTTGACCATGTTTTGCAGAATTTCAGCAAGGCCCTGTGCATTATTAAGGATCGAGAGTAACCATGTTCGGTGTTTCAAGACAATACTGCTTTATAAATATTCTCCCCTAAAACTGTTAGATTTTCTTTCTATAGCCTTTAAACTTTTAAAGCAGTGATGCAAATAAAAAACTCCAGAAAATATTTTAGGAATGAATACATAGCAATTACAATAATGGAACATGACCTTTTGGTTAATGTAATCAATAAAAAGTACACACTAAGTTTCCTCTAGGGAAAAGTGATACTCGGTTGAAAGACAGTTAAATCTGTGACAAATACCAATAGTAGGATTCTTTTAAGAATGAAAAAAGGGGGGAAACCTCTGTATTATGAAAAAAGTTGTGTGTGAGTACTGAACTTGCCTGTACTGAATTAAGAAAATGAAAACTGCCCAGCTGTTTTGGCTCAGTGGATAGAACATCGGCCTGCAGACTGAAGGGCCCCAGGTTCGATTCTCATCAAGGGCACATGCCTGTGTTGTGGGCATGGTTCCCAGTAGGGGGCAGGAGGCAGCCGATCAATGATTCTCATCATGTTTCTATCTCTCTCTCTCCCTTCCTCTCTGAAATCAATAAAAATGTTTTTTAAATGAAAATTGACATAAGCAATGACAAATTTCAATCCTTAAAATATTTTAACTGAAATTGTTCTAAAACGTATACACAAGGAAGAGAAACTTTTCAACACTGTGATTTTAAAATTATTTGCTTAATAATGTTTTGCAGAGAAATAATTTAAATGAGTTTCAGATAAGTGTACGTAAGGAAGAGGGTGGAAAAATACTCATTACTATAGAATTCTGATTGGTAAGCTTCAAATGATGTGGCAGTGATTTTTATTTTTAATAGCCCAATCTTTTGTCTCAATTCTTGCTTGAAATGCAAGGAAAGGGAAGTTAAAATGTACCTCATTTAAACTGCTAATCTTCGTAATTATTGAAAACACTTCTCTAACATTTCTAAAATAAAGGCAACACCTTCCTTTTCCGCAAACTCAGAAAATACCAATGAACTGTAAACCTGAAAGTTTTTAAAGTTCAAAATAGTTTGGTAATGAATGCAAATCCACTAAACAATATTACTTATACAACTGCTTTGATACATCAGCACCACTAATCATTGACAAACTGTAAAGCTTCCTTTATTCCTCCTCTGTAAACTAGGAATGATACCGCTCCCTTCCTTAGTGGATTGCTGTGAGCATAGCTAGCGCCTTCAAACAGTAGTCAATACATGTTCCTTTCCTTTTCTTTCATTTGCTTCAATGTGACTTACTCTTAACTGGTACTTAACACTGGACAGTCGACATTCTTCAGAGTTGGACAGACCCTGATTTAACAACATGCAAATAATACTAGGTTGAATTTTTCTAGGTAAAAAGATCTCTTAACCTCATTTTGCCCACGTACCAAATACCTTAAATTTCTGACGAGTTTGGTGGGGGGGGGTTTTTGGCCTCCCATGTCAGAGTTTTCGCTGCTGTCAAAACAAATTTCTATCTTGTAAAATCCTGGAACAATTTATAAGTCATTACAGTTTCCCCCAGAAGTGGATTTTTCCCCACTCGAATGGGACTTGAGCTGTGGCACCTGCGCTGTGGCAAGACGTCAACTCCCAGTAGTAAAGCGCCGTGAGCCCCTAATTGGGAGGCTGAAAACAACACGCAGTGTCACAGCCTCTTGAGCTGTCAGATTCCGGCCGCCCTCGCCTTACCAGGTGAGGAAACTGAGGCCGAGGGCAAGGAAGGGCTTGCCTGCAGTTTAGAGTCATCTCGTTCTTTCCTCAAATAACCCACCGTTTGACGGCAGCGGTGTCCTGCCCAGAGGACCATCACAGCGGCCCCGCACAACAGAAAAGGAACCCGCCCTGCCTCGCGCCGCCTGATTCCGGGGCGAAAAACAGGCGCCCCTTCCTCGCCCCGCCACAGGAGGGGACTCTGGAGGAGCCCAGACCCAAAAAGTGCGCCTTCCTCGGGATCCACAGCTGCCGCCCGCCGGTTCTCCCCAGAGGAGAGGCCGTCACTCACCTGCGATTGGAGAGAACGCGATTCCTTAATTGGCGTCAGCCCTACACCCTCCGAAACCCAACAGCAAAGCGCGATGGCTGCCGCTGCCCCAGCTCCCGTCAACTCCTTCCGGGCCCGCGGGTGCTTCACTCCTGATTGTCCGCAGGATTGTAGCACCGGGAAGCCCAAGTTCCGCCTCCTACGGTTCCGCCTCCAGTCCCAGCTGAGCACGTCTCCCCGCAGCCCGATCCCCCCACACCGGCCCAAAGGTGCTTCCGGGGCCCATGGGACTAAACAGAGAGGGAAATACCAGTCCCTACCTTGGGGAAATTATCCGTGACATCATTTTTTTAAATGTGCTTTTATTGATTTCAGAGAGAGGAAGGAAGAAGCACAGACGAACATCAGTGTGAAAGAAACATCAAGGGCTGCCTCCTTCACATCCCCTGCTGGGCATGTGCCCTGACGGGGGAATGGAACTGGGGACCTCCTGGTACATGGGTCTACGCTCAACCACTGGGCTTTCTCGAATTCACAAATGACTTACAAAATGTAGCTCAGTGCCAGATAATGTGTTAGCTGCTGGGTATTGAGCTTTAACAAGACTGCCTTGACTCTGCAGTTCATTGTTAATAGATTAGCGTTACTTTCTTTAAATGTGTTTAAATGGGAATATTTTGGTGCCTGGAATGGAAGTGTGATGACAGTGCTTCCAAGACTGCTCTTGTAAGAAGGTTAAAACCTGTATTTTTATAAAAATGTATTTGAGCCTTGGCCAGTGTGGTTCCGTTGGTTGGGTGTCCTCCCGTGCCCGGAAAGCTTGCAGGTTAGATTCTCAGTGAGGGCACATGTCTGGGTTGCTGGCTGATCTCCAGGGGGGTTTGTGCAGGAGGCATTCCCATGAATCTTTCTCTCTCACACGGATGTTTCTCTCTCTCCCTCTCCCTTCCCCTCTCTCTAAAAATCAATTTAAAAATTGTTTTAAATTTATTTGAGTCAAACAGAGGACAACTGGAAGCAAGATCTCAACAGATTGAGGAAAAAACACTTCCTAGAATGACAGTTTGCAGTTTCTTTTATGAATTTGAAATTAAGGTGGGAACATAAGGAAAATTAAATGAAGATGGGAGTTAACAAGGTGAGACTGGATTACAGTATGGTTAACAAGAGTATGTGCTCCGTTGAGATGCTTATGCCTCCTAGGAGTCTGAAAAAGAGAATTACTCTGGCATTCCAAAAGTGAGTTAACCTAGTGTACAAGAACAATGGACAGGGCTTGCTCAGGCAAAGATAACCCTTTTACTAAAGCAGTTATATGCTTGGGGCATGACGACCCACCATGATCTTCCCATGAAGATCATGGAATTCATGATGAGATCAGCCTGTGAGGTTGCTTTCAGTAGAACCCATTTTTTAAATATATTTTTATTGATTTCAGAGAAGAAGGGAGAGGGAAAGAGAGAGAGAAACATCAATGATGAGAAAGAACCATTGATCGGCTACCTCCTGCACACCCCCTACTGGGGGTTGGACCCAAAACCTCGGCATGTGCCCTTAACCAGCATAGAACCTGGGACCTTTCAGTCCACAGACCATCGCTCTATTCACTGAGCCAAACCGACTAGGGTTCTGCAGCAGTTTTAATGTTTGCCCTGATGTTCCCATGTGTGCTAAGCCACTCCCCAGCCATGTGCATTTGTTTACTTGTAGTGACTGATGAATGTGATCATTTACTAGACCTATTCACAGTATAAATTTAAAATTACTGTAATACATACAGAAAACTTTTCTGTGAAATTAAACTTTTCTTTTTTATACATAACTTTAATTACATAAACATGTCTACTTAAGTAAAAATAGGTAAACTAATTTGTCAATTTTTTAATATACGCAGCATTTGGAAGACCTACTTTATTATATAATGGACTTTCAGCTTTAAGGGACACTCCCTCGCCCAAATTCGTCCATTATATCGAGGTTTTACTGTATTAATTGAATAAATTAATTAATCAATGAAAGAACTGCGGAGGACATTCAGCAGAAAGTATAATAAAAAATAGGTTTAACCCTGGCCAGATGGTTCAGTTGGTTGGAGTGTCGTCCCATACACCAAAAGGTTGCAAGTCTGATTTCCAGTTAGGGTACAAACTTAGGTTGTGGGTTCAATCCCCAGTCGGGGTGTGTATGGGAGACAACCAATTGATGCTTCTCTCTGGAATCAATGTCTCTCCCCCCCGCCCTTCCATTCTCTCTAAAAAAATCAATAAACACATATTTTTTAAAAATATATATCTCAATATTAAAAAAATCTAAAAATAAATAGAAGTAAATCTGATACATATACACATGGAGGGTGCAGATGCAGCAAAAGGGTCATGTTGTTCTGAAAAATAAGAGTAAAAAATTGAATGACATCAGTTTATTTTTTTATTATTTTTATTTTTTTATAGCAAAGGTGGAAATTTTATTGAAGAACAAGTACAGACTCCCATGTGGGGAGGGGGAAAGAGTCCTCGTGACATCAGTTTAGAAATGTGTATGGTAGTGTAGGGTAAGTATAGGTAGTTGGACCAAAGAAATATCAATACCCTTAACAACTAGTAACAGCTCTAATAATTTTTTCTTGATATTTGTGTGACCACATTTTAAGAAGTCAGAGAAGGATTTGACAATGTGTAGACAGTACTAAACTATTTTTCATATGCTGTCTTACCAGTTAACTTCCTATTGTTAACTTAGGGTAGGCAGATGACAAATGCTGCTTTCTTTCTCAATAGTTTAAAACTGACTACATTAAAAATGTATAAAAAAATTTAAGAGACTTAACTATAGTTTTTGGAGGAGTAATAGTAACATGGATTTTTAGGGCTGGAACAAATTTTAGAAAAAAAGTTGCTTACGTATTAGCAAATTATTTGTATATTTAACCTGATTTAACCAATGAGGTTATTTACTTTTTGAAATGGCTAATCCTCTCCATCAGTTTTTTTCTTTGGACACAGATATTGCTTAAACAGAACAAAGTTCAAAGAAGCGTGATTTAACCAAATCAAACTCCTGTGCCAGCGTCAACAAACCAAGATCATTAAGGAATTGCATAAAAAAGAGAAAGAAACTAATGCGATTTTGAGACCAGGTGTGAGCATTTGCCCATTTGAAGAGTCACCCTGATTTTCTGTCTGACCTCAGGAAGATTCAGTTTCTCTCTCAGGTCTATTTTCTCTTTACAAGATTGAGAAACTTGAGCCTGGCCCATGTGATTCAGTGGGCGTGCAGGAGGCAGCGGATCAATGTTTCTATTGCTCTCCCTCTCCCTTCCTCTCTCTCTAAAGTCAATAAAAACATTTTAAAAAAGATTGAGAAGCTTGAGCTTGTCATATTTTTAACTGTTCTTGGATATATGATTTGGGACTTTTATAAAACAGTTGGGCCAAAGTATCATCTTCATCCTAAAGAAGTCTTAATAGTTGTAACTTGTACAAAGAGTTGTGGAATTCCACACACAGCAAACATATTTTAGTAAGGTTCTCAGGAAAATGATTATATAGAATTAGGATAAAATTTAATACTTTTGAATTCTTACTGTTTGTTTTTCAGACCTGAGATAGCAGTTTAGGTCTTGCTCATTTTGTATATAATTTAACCTTTTATAGCAGGCATTTGGTATTAAATAAGTTGTACTTCACCCTTCAGAGATTGTGAAACCTTTGGTATGACATTTTAGTCAATAGTATAAACCTGTAGTTTACAAAAGGGGTTTATCATTAGCTCAGAGCAGGAAAAAACTACCTAGAATGGAGGCAGCTAAATTGATATTGACTAATCACTCCAGTTTCTCTCTCTCTTTGGCCTCAAAAGTAAAAAAAAAACAGTCTACTTGCCAAAGAAAAAAGTGTACTCTCCCAGAAGGGAAGTTTTTTTAAAGTTATGTCCTGGTCTTTTGGTTCCGTAGGGTGTGTGTGTGGCGGGGGAGGTTGGCGAAGACTTTGGTTTCAGGTGCAACTGGATGTCAAAGTTCGCTTCTCTACACAAGCTTCAGCTGCATGACTTGCATTTTTGGTCTGTTGTCTCTGAGGACTTGTATTATTTGCATCTTCTTCCTTCCCTGGCCTTTTTTTTAATATTTATTTTTTTTAGTTTATTGATTTTAGAGGGGGCGGGCAGGAAGAGAAAGAGAAAAAAACCACACTGACTTGTTGTTCCACTTACTTATGCATTCATTTATGATCTTGTATGTGCTCTAGGGCTTGAACCCACAAACCTGGCATATCTGATGGATACTCTAACCAACTGAGCTACCTGGCCAGGGCCTCCTTCCCCTGCTTTGACAGCAATTGTGGGCAATGAGTTTGGCCTAAAAAGCGTTAAGCAAATATCAATACTCTCATGAATAGATGTCAAGGGCAAATAAGATATCATAGTTGGAGCCAAATTACAAATATTGATTTAATTTAAGAGGTAGGATAGAATAGAGAAATCAGAAAGGGGGGAGGGAGTAGATTGCCAAAGCATTTCTTGCTTCCATTCTCTGTTTGACATCTCTTTTCTCTGATTTCACACCTTTCTGGGATATTTTTTTTAAATATGTTTTTATTGACTTCAGAGAGGAAGGGAGAGAGAGAGAGAGAGAGAGAGAGAGAGAAACATCCATGATGAGAGAGAATCATTGATTGGCTGACCCCTGTACTCTCCCGACCAGGGACCAAGCCCACAACCCAGGCATGTACCCTTGACGGGAATTGAACCCGGGACCCTTCAGTCCCCAGTCATCACTCTATCCACTGAGCCAAACCAGTCAGAGTCCTTTCTTGGATCTTTATCATATCCTGCCTTGATTTGTGTATTTTTTTGAGCATGTCTATTCTAGTTATGCATTCCAGAGCTGGGGATGTAACCACAGGATAGATTCAGGGACTCACTGGGCCCCCTGTTAGATGGGACCTGAGGGAAAACTCTATTGTTTACTATAAGCTCCTATTTTCACTGATAGAGCAGAGTGTCATTTTGGGTCTCGAGGAGTTTGTGTTAATTTAGGAACTGTGTCCAGTATCCCCTGAAAAGTCTGATCATTTCCTTTTTATTCAAAGTACAGTCAAGCTGGTAAATGGTCATTCATCCTGTGGACTAAAAAGGAACCACATACTAAACCAGACAAGCTCAGGGGAGGCTTTCATGGCAAGCCGTACAAACACAAGAGACCTAAAATAACTGTCTAGGATTATTGGCAGCGAAACCGGCTCCAGATGTTAGACTAGTGGCGTCAGACTGGACCTTGGCTGGGCAACCTCAGTACTTGAGTTCTGGTTAAGAAAGAATTCAGAGGCAAGACTCAAACTATAAGAGAGTTTATTTAGGAAGGCATAGAGGTAGAAGAAGTGAGCCATAGAAGAAATGGGCTCAGAAAACAAGTAAGGCAAAAGAAAGTATTGTAATGTACCCCGCGAATCACACAAGGACGCCTCAAGAAGTCGAATTAAAGAGTCACATTTATTGCAAATCCGGGACTATGAGGGGGCATTTCGCTCTCCCAGATCTCATAGTGCCCGCCCCATCCCCAACACCAGATTTATAGAGGCAAAGATCACAAAGGTATTGATTACATCCCAAGGTTTGGAATGAGGAACCTGGTTTGCAAAAAGCAGTTTACAGAAGCAGACTTAGCATGTTATCTCAATTACAGTTTTTGGGTCTCCGAAACACTGAGTCAACAGGGACACATTAACTGGAGCCCTCTGACCTTGGGATAATTGTGCTGTCCTTCCCAAGTAAAGGAAAATGTGCTTTCTAAGACCAGTATGACCACAACCAATGGGATTTCACATTACAATCAATAGGGTATTTAATCGAATGGGGTGATTTATATAATTCAGAAAATTAAAATAACTTTTCTATTATTTTAGCAAGAAAATAAGTACAGTATAGAAACCAAACAGCAGGGTTAAACTACAGTTTCCACCTGAGATGATTGCTACCATACTTCAAAAGGACCCTGTGTTACCGGGGAGACAAGGAGACCCTGGTTCTTGTCTTCTTGAGGGAAAGATTTCAATCAAGACACAAAGTGTAGAAAAGAAAGCAATAATTTATTGACCGTAGCAAAAATATATTTAGGACAGTGAAACAAGAAGAGCACAGAAGAAGCAACAGGAGCCTAGGCTGGGCCGCCTTAGCTCACGGGGAAGTCAGAAAAAAGGGGGTCTGGGAGGAGCTGCTGCTGCCCATGGCTTCCCTGGTTGCAAGTCTCATGGGGTTCCTTAGAGGTTAGGGCCGTGGTCGGCAAACTGTGGCTCGTGAGCCACATGCGGCTCTTTGGCCCCTTGAGTGTGGCTCTTCCTAAGCCTTAGGAGTACCCTAATTAAGTTAATAATAATGTACCCACCTATATAGTTTAAGTTTAAAAAATGTGGCTCTCAAAAGAAATTTCAATCGTTGTACTGTTGATATTTGGCTCTGTTGACTAATGAGTTTGCCACCACTGGGTTAGGGGATAGGTGTGGGGGAGGGGAGGGGGCAAGGAAGGGTGAGGGGAATGGCATAGGTACACTGGGACCTTCATTTTCAGGGGTTTTAAAGGCTGGGCGTTCAGGAGTGGATCAATAGGATATTCATCAGCTTTACCAAAATGAGATTTATTCTCTTAATTTGTCTGTCTTTGGGTGGGGTTGGCAAATGGCACTTAATTGGATTTCTGTTGTCTGTCTCCCTGAGTTGGGTGATTTTACCCTCTGTTTGGGGATGAGAATTGCAAACCATTTACATAGTCTTAAGTGTCCTTAGTTTAGGGAAGATAACATTGACTAGGTGGCTGCAAACTGCTGTTTAAGCATTCGTGTTCATTTCCCTATTCCACTTGTCCTGCAGTTTTCCTAGCTTCTTACTACTCTCTAACACTTGGAACTTAGGAGAGAGAGAGAAAAGGAAAACATGCCTGGGGGAAGGGGATAGGGAAAGGCGCCTGTGTGCTCCATAGAGAGAGCTGCCCAGAAAGCAAGTCTGAATGGTTTAGCTTACTGTAAACTCTTAGAGGAAATAAAACTGCCATTGACACGTGCTGTTCAATGTGCCCTTAGTGAACTTTCGCGTGACTATGCTATGAATCAGCGAGTTTCAAAATTAAAATTACTTCTAAACCCTCAGGTCAAAAAGCAAGGCCTCTGCCGCGGTGATTACACTTTCAACACACGTACATAATTAACCACCTCTTTTAAAAAATGTTCTTACAATTTACACCTGCAATACGATGAAATACTGCAATGAACATTATTCCAGCTACCAGACATATAGTCTCAATAGAGGACGATGACGTCTGTAGTCTCAGGTAACCTTCACAAAAAAACCGGGGACAGGAACTGTCAGTCCCATTTCCCGAAAGCGGCCAGTGAAACCCTGATTGCGCTAAGATCCCGGCCCCGCCGGCGAGGTGACGTTTACGACGGCGGGGATTTCCGTACCGGTGACACACGCCACTTCCGGCCGGTGGTGAGAGTCAGTGACGTGGCAGGCCAGGCCGAACACGGTCCTTAGGGCCGGGACACCCGGGGCTGTCAGCTGGCCTCCGGGCAGCCCCGCCGGGAGAGCAACGACTGCGGCGGCAGTCGCCAGCCCGGAGCCGGAAGTGCCACGTGTCCCCATTGCGCCTGCGCGGCCGGCGGCTGACACTTCCGGCAAGGGCCTCTCTTCTCTCCGGGCTTGGCTGCCTCCTTCCAGCACCGCGTTCCCGGCCCCACCGACGTGACTACCTACCCTCAGCTCCCAGGCCAAGTCGTGGCCGCCGGTGGGCTGGGGAGAATGTGGCGCCGGGCCTAGGGCTTGATGCGCCTCCCTCTCTCCCCGCCCTCTGTCCACAGTCGTTCTTTCCCTTCGCTTCCAGTAGTCGCCTTTCATCTCTTCGCTCGGCGCTGTCGCTTATCGCGACCAGCCCCTTCCAACCCGGATAACCACCGTCGTCATGTCCCAGCCGGGGATACCGGCCTCCGGCGGCTCCCTAACCGGCCCCCAGGCCCAGAATGGGGCCGCCTCGGCCTCGGGGTCTTCCTATACCAACGGTAGGTGCCACTCGGGGGCGCAGGGAGGGCGCAGCCTGGGCCCGGGCTCCCGCTGAACTTTGGTTGCTGCCGCCGCCTGAGGCGAGAAGAGGGGAGGTGACATCCCGACCTGGGTCTGAAGCCGGTGGCGGTGGGCGGGCTGGGCCACGGAGACAGCGGCGAATATGCACCCGCTACTCCTGGCTCGTCGTAGTGTTTTATGTTTATTTGTTTATTCATTTGTCCAGCAAACAGTTCATGAGCACGTGTAAACCTGGGTGAAAACTAGATTCTGTCCAGACCTCAAAACTCGCATATAAAGTTCATAGTTGTTTATGTGCCACCCCACCCGTCTTATAGAGAGCAGATTCGGGGTCTGATTCATTTCTGTCCTGCAGGGCCTGCGGTGGGATGGGGGCCATACTCAGTCGGAATTTGTGGAGATTAATGAATGATCGTACTTCCCGGAGATCCCTTTAGAGCCGGTTCATCTTTCCCAGAACCTTCCTCGAATTCTGCTTAGGCCACCTGTTCGGTTTTGAGGCTTTGGCAGGACCCGAGGGGAGGATTTCCTGTGTGATTTCCAGAGGTCTCTGCATCCCTTGGAAAGTGGTCGGGCACAGCTCTGAACCTCTGATGAGAGTGTGCATGTGAGACTATAATTTGTCATTTGGTGTGAGAGTATTTTACGATTTTTTTTAACCTCTTATAGGATTTTAAAAATTGTACTGCGTTGTGATTTTTATTCTGATTGTTATAATAAAGATAGATTGCCAAGTTACCAATTTACCTACAAATCTTTGGTTCATGGAAACAAAACCAGAATAATACTAAAATACTGAGATTTCCATTGGAATCTAAAATTTCTGTGAAGTTCGAGAATATAGGCAATGACTAAAATAGCTAATTTACATTATTTTTAGAGAAGACTATTGTCTTTTTTTTTTTTTTTTTACAAAGAAAGCTCTAAAAGACTTTTAAAAATGTCTGTGAGTGGGCAGAAGCAAGAGTAAGTGGGGGTAAGCACTGAAATGGTGTTTAATCGAATCAATTGTTCTTTCTCAAATTTATGGTAACATTGTGTGAATTACATTTATTTTAGACTATTTACTGACGTTTACGCTGTGGATGAAATCATTTAAAGAAATTTACTTTAAGCTATAAACACTTAAGATGTCATATGGCTATGGCTTTTTCTTATAATCTATAAATTTCAATTTTACATGAGCTTTAAATTTTTTTAATTTTTTTATTTTAGAGAGAGGAAAGGAGAGAGAAACATCGATTTGTTTTCCTCCTATTCATGCATTCATTAGTTGCTTCGTGTATGTGCCCTGAGGATTGAACCCACGACCTTGGCATATGGGGACCACTCTCTAGCCAACTGAGCTACCCAGCCAGGGCTGAATTTACCATTTAAAACTCATATAAAATTGCCCTGCCCTGGTAGCTCAATTGGTTAGAGTGTGGTTCTGATATTCCAGGGTTTTGGGTTCAATCCTCACTCAGGGTACATACAAGAATCAATAATGAATGCATGAATAAGTGGAACAACAAATCGATATTCCTCTATCTCAGTGATCGGCAAACTGCGGCTCGCGAGCCACATGCAGCTCTTTGGCCTCTTGAGTGTGGTTCTTCCACAAAATACCGACTTCTGTGCATGGGCCACAAAGTTTCAATCGCACTGTACATGCGCGCCTGCACGTGGTATTTTGTGGAAGAGCAACACTCAAGGGGCTAAAGAGCCTCATGTGGCTTGCGAGCCGCAGTTTGCCGACCACTGCTCTATCTCTCCCTTCTCTCTTTTTTTTTCTAATATATTTTTATTGATTTCAGAGAGGAAGAGAGAGGGATAGAGAGGGAAACATCAATGATGAGAGAGAATTATTGATCGGCTGCCTCCTGCATGCCCCCTACTGGGGATCAAGCCTGCAACCCAGGCATGTGACCTTGGCCAGAATTGAACCTGGGACCCTTCAGTCCGCAGGCAGATGCTCCATCCACTGAGCCAAACCGGCTAGGGCTCTCCCTTCTCTTTTTAAAAATCAATAAATAAAAATTTTTTAAATAAAATAAATATCCTCCTGTATAATAAAAGCCTAATACAGTGGGGTCTTGACTTACGAGTGTCCCGACTAACGAGTTTTTCGAGATACGAGCCGTCTCTCGGCCGATTTTTTGCTTTGAGTTGCGAGCTAAAATTCGGGTTACGAGCCAGCTTCAGATACCCCACCGCTAGTTGGCGCAGCGAACGTCACAGTGAACGACACAATACCAGCCCAGCATCACGTGTCTCACTCGTTCACTTTTGATTTGACATGTGATTAATTTGAGTTATGAGCTCTGTCACGGAACGAATTAAACTCGTAAGTCAAGGCCCCACTGTATGCTAAGTGTCAGGTCATCCTGTCCATTCAACCAATCAAAGCGTAATATGTTAATGATATGCCAAAGCCACTCAACCACTTGCTATGACCTGCACTGACCACCAGGGGGGAGACAGTTGACCAGTCGCTATGACGTGCACTGACCACCAGGGGGCAGACACTCCAACTGATAGGTTAGCTTGCTGCTGGGATCCGGCCTATCGAGACTGAGGGCGATGGGCCGGACATGCCCTGGAGCCCTCCCACCATCCCGCCCAGGCTGGCCAACCTCCCGAGTCCCTCCCCGGCCCGATCATGCACTGGTGAGGTCCCTTGGCCTGGCCTATGCTCTCTCACAATCGGGATTGAGGGCCCCCCCCCGCCCCCCACCCAGTGCACAAATTTTGTGCACCAGGCCTCTAGTATTAAATAAATACATAAATGGCAAATCCTACCAATGTGCTTGTAAGCTTATATGAAAGTATAGTTTTGTTAATTTTGAAATGTCAAAGGAATTTAGCCACTGTGATATGCTGTTTTGGAGATGTTCTCGTTACGTTGATTTGATCCAGTCCAACAGACATTTGTTGCATACCTTCTAAGTCCTGTCCTTGGGGAAATGGAACCCAAGGTACAGTCCCCCACTTGTACCTACAGGTTCCCTAGAGCCAAGTGGGGATTCACATATGGAATGAAATCATAGAACTGCATAAATACATACCTTTTAAAATATATAATTGACAGTCTTTTTATAAGCCCCATTTCTAAAGTTCTTTTTGTAGAGGTAGTCCCAGTAAAATAGCTAATGTCCTATATTGGATTCATTTTTTGTGCATCCCACTAATAAAGAGAGTATGGATATGGTGGAGAATTGGAGAGGGGGTTATTTCTCTAAAAGTTGAAAACATAGTTCAGTGCTGGAATGTAATTTTATTTTGGTTAACTCTTTCAAGGCAGTTATTGCTGCTTAAATATTCATAGAGCCCTGGTCAGGTGGCTCAATTGGTTGGAACATTGTCTCCATACACCAAAAGGTTGTGGGTTTGATTCTCTGTCAGGCCACATACCTAGGTTGCAGGTTCCATCCCTGGTCGGGGCGAGTATGGAAGGCAACTGATCAGTTTCTCTTTCATGTCCATGTTTCTCTCTCTCTCTCTCTCTCTCTCTCTCTCTCTCTCTCTCTCTCTCCCACTCTCCCATCCCACCCCCTCTCTCTCTAAAAATCAAAACAACAAAAATGCTATTGAATGCTCTTAAGCTTAGATTTAATGTAGCTTGCTTATATTACATATCATAGTTCAGTTGGATCTTCAGATATTTTTAAACTATAATAAAAAATCCCAAATAAAGTAGTCCCCCTTATCTATGGGAGATACGTTCCAGTGGATGCCTGAAGCTGGATAGTACTGAAACCTGTATAGGCCATGTTTTTTCTTATATATATGTACCTATGATAAAGTTTAATTTATAAATTAGGCACAGTAAGAGGTTAACTAGTAATAAAGTAGAACAATTAAACAACATACTGTAATAAGTTACATAAATATGGTCTCTCTCAAACCCTTTCTATGATGATGCAAGATGATACAATGTTTACATAAAATAAAATGAGTTACTCAGAATAGTACACAACATAAAACTTATGAATTGTTTATTTCTGGAATTTTCCATTTAATATTTTTGGATCGCTGTTGACCGAAGGTACCTGAAACTACAGAAATCGAAACTGAATAAGGGGGACCAGTATAATCACCTTTTTCATTTTTCTATAATTTCTTTCGTATTGTGTGGTATCATTATATTATAGAATTCCTCACAAATGGAGACCTTTCTATGGTCAGTTGTTGCATTACAATGTAAAATTGTTGAGATATGTTTTTCTAAGTTTCAGTGTAGATTTGTGTATACGTATTTCCTTTGCCAAAATTGATAGTGAAACTGTAAGACTACTTAAACTGGCAGATCTTCATCTGATTAGCATGTAATAAGGCTAAAGGCAGATCATGATTCCCACTGTTAATTAACTGCTTTATTTTTACTTTGAATCCCTTTGCCAAAGCAGTTAGAAATTGCAGCTTTATTAAATTTATTTTGGTAATATTTATGTAATATTCACTTTTTCCCATATAGATTAAGGGTGAGAAGAATATTCTCAAACCTCTCTCCCACCCAGCTTTCCATTATATTGTAATTTTATTAAATAATACTGATTTGCCTCTAGACTGTAAAACATATAAGGGCAAGAATATCTGTTTTACACATCATCCTCTCTCCAGCTCCCCACATGGTGTCTAGCACATTTTAAGAGTTACCAGTTTTATTGTTTGAAAGTTTTAGATTTAGGTATTTTGTAATTTAGGTCACTAAACATATACTGACTTATGCATTGTAAGATTAGAGCTTACTTCCAACTTTTTTTGGTAAAATTTTCTGTGGATTTTTGCACAATATTATCAGCTAAAATTCAATAGAATATGTGTGTGGAGAGTTGGTTACCAGTTTAAATTCTAGATTTGTACTCATCTCTATTTTAGGTATGACAAAAATATAGATCTCTTTTAGTTTCACTATGATGTAAACCATGGTTATGATTGTATATTTAATATAAGAAGGCTCTAGTCATGATCAAAGCATGCTGTGAATAAAATTGGC